AAAATAGAGAGTGTGAATAGTGGTTCTCCAAATTTGAAGAACTACTATTAAGTATTCACATCTCTGTAAATAGAGAATAAAGAGTCATATAAAGATGAATTGGAGAGAGTATTCTCTCTATTTTATCCTTCAAATATAGAGAATGAAGTGTAAAATAGTTGGTCTTAACTCTTATACTTTCGAAATAAATACACCCATGTCATTACGAAGTTGTTAAAAATATCCATTACTTTAATGACTCAACTGTTGAAATGACAGGTGGACTTCACATGTGTATTTATTTACTTATTTAATTTATTGATTTGATATATTATTAAAAAATTTAATTAATTATCTTTGGCCGTGATTTCTAAAAATAGCTATTCTCTAAATTACAGAATCGATGTGTGAATATCATAGCACGTTTATTCAACGCACCTTTGAAAGAGGAAGAAATAGCAATTGGTGTTGGCACAGTGGGCTCATCAGAGGCCATAATGTTAGCGGGCCTAGCCTTCAAGAGGAACTGGCAAAACAAACGCAAAGCTGAGGGAAAGCCTTATGATAAGCCCAATATTGTTACTGGCGCTAATGTTCAGGTATCATAACTCCTACATTCTCACCATCTTACTTGTCGCGTTTAGTATAATAATCTTTAAATATCACTTGTTTGAGATTGAGAGTTATTAGCAAAAAGGGTTCAAAAATTACTTTTGGTTACATATCCAAATTCTTGTATATTAAGTCTTGTTATAACTTGATTAAATTTCTGACTCCGTAACAGGATTTCAAAAACTTGTTATACATAAAATATTTTTTAATTTTAGGTGTGTTGGGAGAAATTTGCAAACTACTTTGAAGTGGAATTGAAAGAAGTAAAGCTAAGGGAAGGGTACTATGTGATGGACCCAATGAAAGCTGTGGAAATGGTAGATGAGAACACCATTTGTGTTGCTGCTATTTTGGGTTCAACTCTTAATGGAGAATTTGAAGATGTCAAACTCTTGAATGATCTGCTGATTGAAAAGAACAAGCAAACTGGGTAAACTACTTCTATTCTCTAATTTATCTGTTGAAAGTTTCTTTTCTTTTTTTGTTTGTTTGTCCAAGTATGTATATATAGGTTTAACCTCCTGTTTTAATAAAAAGATATGTGGAACTAGCATTACCTCTCATTTAAATGATAATTTTGATATTTAAGATATATTTGAGTTACATATTAAAGTTTTCTTATATTTCTTAAAGTGATAGTTTTGGACAAATAATCCATCCAATTCATCGTTTATTTTTTCTAAACTATTTAAGTTTATACAGTTGGGTGGATGATTAAATAAAGAATGACTATATAGATATTCTTCTTTTTTTCTTAAACTTTACGACTATTAGAATATTTACTTACATGTGGAAAATCAAACGAATAATGATAATTATACGTCCCCTCCAATTTTTACTACCGCTTGTTGTTTTTGCTCCCTTCTTTTATTTGGTTTTCAAACCTTTTTTTATAACCCTTTTTGGAGCCAAGAATCTATCAGAAATAACTTTTCTACCACACAAAGGCAGGGTAAGATCAATTTGTGTACATTCGATTCTTCTCAGACTCCAATTATTATAGTAATAAACAAAGAATATTTTTGTTTTTTTTTTT